TCTGCTTGGAACATTTTATTTTTATTACTTTGAAGAAGAAAAAGAGATACATTTCGAACTACTAAAGAGTGCTGTAGAGTTTTGTAACTGTTATATTTAGCCAGAGTGAAATAATGGATTATACAGAAAAATACATAATACCTTCAGTAATACTATATTAAAATATTAATTATTTTATTTCAAGTATTTCAAAAATTTATATATCTATAAATCTTTTATGAGTTTATCACAAGCGTTAAATTTATTCAAAATATATTTTGAATCCTAGTAGATAGAGCTATTTGAGCATAGGAGTAAGTTAATCAAATGCCAAAATATGTGAATACGTCTATGCATGCGTAATGTAGCACAAAGACAAAGATTACTGTGCTTTAATACAATAATCTGTGTCCGGCTGTCAACAGCCAAATACGTGCGCTTTTTCATTTTTGTATATCAAAAGTAAAATTATTAGGTGATTGAAAATTCTTCTTTTTGGTCTACATGGTAATTAAAGTGATTAATAATAATCAAATGAGTCTTTTGGATATAAGTTATTATCGTATTTTTTTACTTTAATGTTCAAGTTGCTATTTTATTTACGGTTTTTCAGTTATAAAAAAATATTCAGTCAATACCAATATGAGGCTTGTTAGGCTAGTATCTTATAAACTCAGCTGCTTAAATGAAATCTGTCTTTATCAATGTTTTTTATTCTATGTTAACGATTAAATACATATTTTACGTTTAATTATTACTGTAAAAAGTAAAGATTTTAATTTTTCTAATTTTATTAATTAAAAGTTAATTACAAATTATTATACTTAAAATGAAAATAATAAAAATTTGATTAATATACATATAATCTTTTCATGCTTTTAATAATATATAAGCTCATTAAACGATTATCTTCATGATTCAACTTATTCTTCGAGGATGCTCAACATGTCCCATAGGGGGGCATATTGATTTACTTTGCATCCTTATAATTAACGTAATTTTTTTCTTATTTTTTGAGCTATATTAAGGATTTATAAGTAATTAATTATTGAGCCAGGTGAACGTGCAACGTTTTAAAACATTTACCATTAGTCTATCGTAATTGTGTGAAAATTTATAATAATTTAAAGAAGAAGTGTTACAAATAGTCTCGCTCTACTCTAAGTTTAATACTTAAATTTTCATAATCATTGAATTCATTTTAATTTCATAATCAAGATAATTAAATTTAAACAAATTCAATTTACCTATTATATAAAAAAATCACTTCATCAATAAAATTATATATCCTCCAAAAGAAAAATTCTTGTTTTAAAATTTAAATACATGATAATAATGAGTTTTTCTAAAATTTAATAAGTATATTTTGAGATTATTATCAAGAAAATATTTTTTTATTAAAGATAACGGTTATTTGGAAGAAAAACATAAACTGACAATGAGAATAACTTTGTTTCATCAGTAGAAAGATATTTTTCGTGTGTAATAATAAAAGTTTATTGCATGCTCAAGTTAATCTTCGCCGATGTTACGAGACGCCACAAAATGTTATCGTGGCACTCGATTAGATCCTTTCGTCAAGAACCACAGAGACGAATTGAGAAAGCTTTAAATTAAAGCCTATCTACGTGAGACGATACGCGGCAGTTGAAAAAGTCGTCGACCAAACGTGCTCGTAGTGAAGAGTTCGCGAGCTTTTTTCCTCAAAAAGATACGAGGGAGGAGGCTGTAAGATCGTCGCGAATCGCCGAGAATCGCGAAGAAAGGGTGCTTTTTATACGGTACAACGCAGGGAAACTTTGACGAGGAAACGCTCGTAGCGATCGCGAACGGGGTAAAGCCGATTTTTCGAGCTAAGCATAAAAGTGGCAAAGCACTCGGAACTTTCGCAGAAAGAAACGATCTCTCTCTCTCTCTCTCTCTCTCATTTCTGTCTCATTTCTATCTCTCTCTTACCAGTCCTCTCTTACTCTCTCCATCTTTCTCTGTTTCTCTCGTTCTCTCTCGATCTTCTTCTGGTTTGCCTTCGTCGCGTGCCGCATTTCGCATGTTCGGACGCGCTTTAAATTGGACGCCCTTTAAAACGTGAGAATTATTCAACGCTTCGCGTTACGCCTCCGCCGTTTGTTATCTCGCTTCTCGCGCGTGTTACGTGACGCGAGTTACGAGCGCGCGCTGAGAAAAATGTCGCGCCGTCGACGGTACATTATGATTATCTATAAGGTATTAACTCGTTCTCCGTTGATCTACCGTATGTTCAGAGCGTGTCTCTTTGATATTTTATCTCTCATAGTGGATTATTATTATTCGCAATAATAACTACCTCTTTCAATAATAATCTCTCGAGATCGTTATATAAATAAATCAAACGGAAAGTAAGTATCTAAATAAGACTTAGTGCATTAAAAGTTGAACTTGTGTCAATGAAGAGCAATGAGCTCTTCTCCAGGCACGATTTTGAAGCTTATAAAACTAAGATGTTTTTAATTCTCTTAGGAAATACATTGTAGTTTTATAAATACCAATGTCGTGCCTGGCTCATTGAAGTTTAAATTAAATAAATAAGGAAAGGGAAATATGTACAGTCGAAGCTAGATTTTTAATACCTAATAATATTCGAATCCTAATTCCGGTAACAGTTTTCACAATAATTTACAATAATTCTTTTGTTTTAAGATGCCAATAGCATCATTATTAAATGATCGATTTAATTATGGTATTATTATTTCAGCTTCAGTTTATGATTTCAAGTCCGTCAGTAAGCATGCAATTTACGTAACTGAAAAATATATTTAGAATTTACATTTAAAAATATTATTAGGTATCCCAAGATCTAGCCTCGACTGCAATATTAGTTCTTTCCTTATTTATTTGATTTCGCAAAAACGTACTCTCTATTTATTCTTAATATTCTTAGCCGCATACAATTTTTATTTACAACGTACTATTGCATTTACATTTCAGCGTTTATCAAGATGTAATTTTGTTAAACTCAATTTTTCTATACGTATGTTGTTACTGCATTCAACTACACAATTATTAATTTACACGGCGCGCAAAATCTCCAAATGCCCGCTGCCGAATTTGAATTTCATTTACTAAACATGTGCGTCCACACACACTGTGATGTAAATACGTAATTAAAATCAAATGATTAGCATTAAATGTGCGGTGCGATTTAAACAAAATTATCGTATTTTGCACGAATGTCGCGGTTGCTTCCACGGCACGGCAATCAGCGGCGAACATTCGTTGTAAATTGACGGTAATCCGGACGGTTACAAAACATCGCTGCCGCAGAAATTCAAACTATTGTTCGCGTTTTATAATACGATTCAGCTATGTGTTTTACAAAGAACTTTTACTTCGTAAAGCACGACGTACGTAAAATAAATTTCAAAAAATGTGCGTAAAACAAAAGACTGTGTTTAAAAGCCGCGTTGCTATGTGTCAGCATGTAAATAAAAGTCGCGCAAAAACGGCGCTGTAGATGCCGGCTAGTTGTTATACAAAGCTTTTTCTCAATGTTGATTCATGTAAATATATCCATTTTAATTCCAGTCTGCGAGTGGCTCGCGGCAAAAACCGGTCCGCCCCTCAAAGAACGTATATCAATTTTTGACGAGATGAAGTCACTACTACGAGAATGCATATTACTATAAAATGCTTTTCGTTCTTTTATCAAATATATATTGCAAGTAGCATGTTATAATTATTTGTATATTACAATAATAAACATATGCTAATTATGTATTGCGAAGATATTCATGAAATTTCTTTTACTTAAAAAAAAAATGACTACTACAAGTGTGTACATTATTGTAAAATGTTTTTCGTTCTCCTCGCAAATATATTATACGTAACATATTATAATTATTCGCGTATTACAAAAATGAACGTATACTAATTACGATTTACAATGATAATTCATAAAAAAATCTTTCGTTTTAGAAAAATGACTGTTACAAATGTACATATGAGGGAGAGCAAATATATAAACGAGAATTTTTTTTTATTATTTATTGGACGAGAATAAAAATATAAAGGATACAAATTATTTTTCTACATAGTTCTCTGCTACATTAATACATTTCTGCCAACGGATAGGCAGTTTGGCGATCCTGTTTCCATAAAAAGTAGTAGGTTGTGTCTGCAACTTATTGCGTACGAATTCTTCTCGGCATCGTATTGTCCTCCCAATTCTTCTTTCAGCGGTCCAAACAAATGATAATCGTATGGAAAGATTTGTTTCTCAATGCGATTATCATTTGTTTTAGTCGCTAAAAGAATTGGGAGAATTCAAAGACGTAAAAACAGGATCGCCAAATTGCTTATCCGCTGGCAAAAATATATTAATGTAGCAGGGAATTAAAAATAATTTATTTTCTTTATATTTTTATTCTCCTCCAATAAATAATAAAAAAAAATTCTTGTTTATATTTGACCTGCTTTCGTATTTATTGTAAAATGCTTCTCGTTCTTTTATCAAATATATATTACAAGCGTGCTATAATTATTTGCATGTTATAAGAACAAACGTACACTAATTACGAATTGCCAAGGCATTCATGAAAAATTTTCTCCCTTTAAAAAAAAAGCAAGATATACACAACAATATATAATATTAAAAGTAGCATATTATAATTCGTATATTACAAAAATGAACGTGTACTAATTATGAATTTCAAAGATAGTAATGAAAAATTCTTTTCCTTTTCAAAAAGCGATGTACAATAATATATTGAAAGTAGCATATTATAATTATTCGTATATTACGAAAACGAACATGTATACTAATTACAAATCGCAGAGATATTAATGAAAAGTCCTCCTCTAAATAAAAATAAAAAACAAAAAAGTGGTGTACAACGAAGGGAAGCTTCGCACGATAAAATTCATTTATCTTACAACATTGTAACGCGTTTATTAATTTCGTTTCCCGATCTTGTAATTTATTCATCAATTGAACTTGATAACTTCATCATAGCTGCATGACGAGATAATGGAAAGCGGATTCGTACCTTGATAGCGATTATGCAAAGTTGATCCGTGCTCGAAGCTCTTGTTTCAGTCGTGTGACAGCAGACGTCCAGTCGCGAAAAGAAATCACGACGTGCTGAATTCACTGCTCGAGCGAAATAGTTTTGACACGTTACCGGCTCTATTCGTTTGGTGGGCGAACGAAGTAATATACGAGAGAACTTTTTCACTGCCGCAGACGCAACGTCGTGCTTACCAGAGAACCGAGTCACCTCCTCCAAACACATTTCTGAGAAATGTATACATCACGAGCGCTATCACGATATCACTACATTTTTCGCGAAAATATCCGTAAAACGTACACCGAATCGATGGTAAGACTGTCATTAAAAGATCCCCAGAGGGAAATTGTTTAATATTTCATTTTCACGCTATCAACAGACCAACTGGAATATTCACGCAAAATATCATTCCTAAGAACGATACGAATTCGTCGATCTGTACTATTTACTCTCGAATGAGAGAAACAAACGCGAAACATAGAGTAGCCTGGAGGCAGAAAGAATGGAAAAATAATTTGAATTTCAAATGTTCTCTCAACGCAGAAGAGAATGAACAACTACTACGATAATAACCGGTAAATAAAACGGGAATGCAGATTGAAGATTTCGGAAAAGGGATTGAACATTGAAATGCTGCAAGTGCTGCAATCGTTCTTTACCGAAATGAACTCCAGGCACGCCTGTCTTACGCCAGCACCAGCACGTAACCGAACCTGGACACCGAAACTGGACTGGCTGCTGAGAGCAGATGAATCTCCGTGAAAAACTGTCGTCGCGACGGCTGGGTGATTTTCGCGACGCGACCGACCACCAACCACCAACACGCGCGCCCCAGCACGATTCGTAACCCTTCGTGCTCGTGTACTATCAACCGCACACACAGGGCAGGTGCACGGATCGTCCAACCGCAACCGAGAACCACGCCGTACTAAACTCGCGGCACGGGCGGCGGAATGGTTTTGACACGCCGCCGGCTATATCCGCTTTTCCACCGACGCGACAGTCGCGAGGGGCGCATGTGCCGATATAATCCACGCTTGTGCCGGCGTACGTTCACCCACACGCACACACGAAACACACACGTACGAGGCGCGTACGGTGTGCACACGCGAAACACAGACGCCACTGCACATGCAACCGACTCTCTGCGAGAAGGGAGGCGACGAGAAGTGAAAAGCGACGAGATGGAGAACACGCACTCCGAGAAAACTTTCCACGCCCGTAGGGTGTTTCGAAGAAGAAGAAGAAGAAACGAGGGAGGGCCAGAAGGGTCACCGGCGAAGACTACCGATGTTTGGTCAAGGGTTCCAAGTAACCAAGTGGAATCTTCCTTTGCAATCGTTCACTGTATGTATTTTCTTTTTCCTTCTCCCTCTCGCTATAATTTTTTCTGAAATATATTACAATTTTCTACGTTAATGTTTTAAATTAGAAACTTTATATTTTAAATTTCGAACTTTCCGACTCAGAAAAATCCCCGCAATTTTTTTTATAAACGTCACGTGAATTGAGAAATATATGCTTTGTCTGGTAGTGTTTGTTATAGTAAAATATAATGTTTTTGAGTGTCAAGATAAATTTAGTTGTTAACTTAGAACAAACAAATTTTTAGACAACAATTTGACTTTGCCGAAAATATTCAAAATCATGTAATATAAAAATGTTGCTTGGTGCGCGTAATGAGCAAGAGAAATATAATTATACAGGAGATGATATGAGTAGCTTTTCTAGCTACTCATATTATTATAATTCGGATTGATCGACAATCCGAAATAACTTGAATGATCTGATTACGGCTATCATCTGACGGAAGCAGCTGCATGTTTAATGTATCCGAGAATCGTCCCTAATCAGAACGATCGGTCGAATTATATGATTAGCACATCTCTACTAATATTTATGTATAATAACGATTGAACGTATGTTTCAGTCGTAAAAATTGCATACATACGTACAATGTATGTTCTGCAATCACAAAATATTAATAAACGGTAGAGGAAACTCCACGTTCGATTTATTAATTAATATTTCGCATTAAATCGCATAAAATATTAATTATGTGAGCAAAAAATAATTCGGAGTCAATTATCTTTTAAAAAATAAAGGTAACTATTTATTATCATTGAATTTATTCCTCGCTTATTTATTGATGATGTATTGTATTACAAATATTTTTTAACAAAACAAAAAATGAAATAATGACAAATTTGTCTATATTAAATTTGAAAGTAATACAAAAAATTTGACAATTTATAACCTGGATATAAAATTATTTCAATAAGAGAAGTAGAAAATGTTTTTAAAAGATAATTAAAATAAAATGAGAAAATTTTCATTTATAAACTATACAATTGCATTGTTAAGTACACAAATATCAGCCTTAATGAACCATTTCATATGTATATAAAATTCGTTTTCATACAGAAATGTATAAACTTCCAATTCTAATCACTTTTTGCAGAAACTACGTGTATCTGATACATCTTTAACGATAATACAGCCGAATTATATTTTTAATGAAATTTGTCAGTCTATTAATGACAGGGATATTTTATGACAATGTATTTACTTGTGATGACAAGGTATTTACCGAAAGAAGGATAATTTTTCTCCCCGAAGAGAAAAGGCCAGTTCAATTAATTTTAAGCTGCAAACATCGAATGTCTGTCCTCTCTGTGCGAATACTCCATGATCGAGCTCGATGTTACAGCGCATAAGCTCAGGAACTTTTCAATCTCGTGGAACACGAGCGCGCAGAGGGCATTGTCGTTGGACAGGATTGGCACAGGTTCGAACTTGATCGAACGGCAATTACGTTGATTGAAAGGCCAACACGAGTGTCGCCTGCGTACACGGAGAAGCGAAGATTCCCGGCTCCAGTTGTTCATCGAACACATCCCTCTGCCCCGGTGCCCTTACTAGTCGAAGAAACGAACGAAAACCAAAACGAAAACACATTTATCAAAACATTTACCAACGAAATTTCGAAATCTTGTTATTTTCTCGATCAAAAATCGTCATTGGAGTAAAGCAAAAAAAAAAAAACATCACGTACATTTCGGAAGAATTTTTTGAAAAAGTATTGATACATCGCAAAGGAATTTTACGATTAATTAAATAGGTATTGAAACGATTAATGAAATGAGTATTCGATATTGCAATCATTATATACAACAATTAAATTTTGTCGAAGAAATTACTTGAATAAATATGTTTTCCTAAGAAATATTAAAGTTGTTAAAGTCTCTATCTTTTCGATTTTTATTATACAGTATTATTAGCAGGATTAATTAAATAATTACGTGAAAGTGATTTGAATAATGGAAAATAAATATTGACAATTTGTTGCGATATTAGGACACACTTATTATTGTTCTGAAAACGTAGAATCATTTACATTCGATCGTATTAATAAATTTAGCTGCACGGTTCAAAGGTTCGAAATGTGCGGAAAGTAATACGATGGAGTAAGAAGAAGAGGACGTCGTTGCCTTCGCTGCGGAAATTGTATTTCCGAGTAATTGGATGGCTGAGAGATGTTTATGCGCGGAATTACATTGAATCTGTCGTTTCAAAGTGTTATTACTTAATTTGTATCGGTACTGTCTTCAGTATCATTGCGAAAACAAATCGTTCTTAAAATAGTGGGAAATAATCCAAGAATTTATATCTGAATATAAGATATCCTTAAGGCAATCCTTAAGTTGTAAGGATTAAATTATAATTCCATAAGATAATTGAGAGTTCTTTAAAGTAATATATAACAAACATAGCCAAAGGAAATAATATGACAAAAAGCTAACAGCCGTTTTAAAAGGGATGATAATAAAAAATAATTTGACACAGAATTGAAAGTAAAGTTTAAATTGAAGAAATGAATTCAATTGAAAAGTTTAAATTAAAAAATTGAATTGAACATAGATAGACAATAAAATAACACTTCCATTTAATCGTGAATTTCATCCTAACGTAAATTTAATTTAAGATTTTAACAATCTATAAAATGCGTCTAACTGAGAACTTGCGATAAATGAAGATCTCCTCGATAATGTTTTCGTTAATATAAAACAGGCTTTAAATTTATTGCAGCATTTTTAGATGCTCCATTTAAGATCTCGTAATTCCATTTTCAATTATCTTCAAGTCCTTTTTCATTTCAAACAATGCACGTTCAATTAATGTCATAACGAATACTTCAATATATGTATACATAAATTATGATAATACATCCAATGAAAATTATTCAATTCTCATCATGATTTCGACATAAATGCGCGTACAATCAATGCGACATAGTGGCACAATTTCGAGATGAATTATGCACCTCGCGAGAAAGGTCAAGTTCTCACGATGGTAATACTTGTTCGAGAGCACGTTCGACAGTAACGAATGGAAGATATGTCGTCCCTTTAATTGATGGCAAATTCAGCGTTCCGGATCACCTGTTATCTCGCAAAGAGATAGACGGCGAGCCTTGTTCGAGTAAAAACGATCAGGCTCAATCGAGCCTGATCGATTTCGCGTATTGAAGTATGAAGTCTCATTCAGTTCGTTCGCGTGTTATCGAACTTCTCTCTTATCGTCTTCTAACAAAGTTACGGCGAATTCTTTCAAACGCTTCAAGAATTTCATTTCCAAGAATTTCTATATATATATTTAGATATTGATTACATGGAATGACTGTTTGAATAATCGACGTATTCCACCGTATTATCTTTACTAATGTAAAATGTGAGAGAATTATCGAATAATTTTATAAATGAAAATATCTATGCATAAATGAATATTTAATCTGGCGAGAATTACAAATTCATATTCGACATATTTAATGTTTCGAAACACAGTAAATTTATCGTCCTTTATATGAAACTACTCGTGGAAACGGATATGGATCTTTCAAACCCTAGTCAACCCGTTTCTCAGTCCTCGCAGCAACGTACCGTGCGATATCGAGAGGGGGAGTCTGATTCGGTTTTCAGTCGCGCGCTGACAGAGAGCGAGGGGGCGGCCGAGTATAATTCGTTTGAAGTTTCAACGCTATTTGCGTCGGAGTATTTTTTTCGGCGCTCACCCACGGCCTGCCTTTCAGGGCGTCGCGCCGCTTACGACGGGGGTCTAATATCCGGCGTCTGACGCGAAAATCCCTCGTTCCTGTCCATCGTCTGTCTTTCATCTTCGGCGAAACGAAAAATCGCTCTTGCCGGGCCAACTTCATTAACGAATGCGCGAATAAACGTAATTTCCTTGAGGGATATTTAAGGAATAATAAGATAAGAGAATTATTAAAAAATCACATTGTTCAACACGTCGTTT